CCTTGAGGTCTATTGCTCCTTCACTTGCCATGATAACTTTGATTTCCACGGAGAAGACCTTGTTTGTCACTAGTTAACCACTTTCTTTGTCAATCTTATCACAGAAAATACCTTTGATCCGTTCACCCAACACCCTCCATCTGTTGCATTGTTCATGAATTAACATGTACCAAACCTTTGTATTTCACATGAATCCCAAAACACGTTGATTGCACGCTGTTCTTTCCTGACTTATGCCTCTTTGATGTGCTAGCTAGATCCCGTTTTGTGTAGTTGGAAAGCTGGCGGCAAATTTTAAAGTCATTTCTCACTTGCTCTGACCAAATAGACTCAGGAAGAGGAAGTAAACAAGACAAAAGGAACAGAGTAAAAGACGATGGAAAAAGATGATTCCTAACAGGAAAACTACAAGGTAGAAACTTATCAGATGTAGATACCAACTCTAATGACCATGACATGTACATGTGTCCTAATCTGTCAAGCAAGTCTGATGTTCAACTCGTGTTATACCCCTAAATCGTGAAACTGGACTTCAATGCTCTGATTATCCAATCTGATTCGCGATCCTTATTTGACTTGTAATGCCCGAAGGGTTTTCACCATTAAGCCTCTCTCATTTTGTTCTTTCTCTCAACTTACCGTCGCCTTATGGTGCTTTTGAAGGTTTTCACCGTTAAGACTCTCTTATTTTTTCTTTTCTTCTTCTTTTCTCTGATTCTGTAGATGACAAGGTATTGACCATAGGAAAAACATCATACGCTCCTGGCATTGCTAACTCAGCACTCTCAAAGATAATCTGGGAGGTCTTTTTAGACTGTAATGTGGCTTTTGGACAGGGTTAGAAAGGAATGATATCACAAAGGCTCAAAACAACTAAGATAACAAGGTTAGTTTATTTACAACTTTTGGAATCCATTTTAAAACTTTGCCCCAATTCTGAAACAAAGGTCTTTTTTTTCCTTTTTGAGATGGAATTTCTAAGAAAGACTGCCTCACTCTCAACTTCGTGGGATTATAAAATATTTTATTTGGTATGACCGAACCGTAAGGCTGCCTATGTATCTTGTGGTGACAAGAATCAGGTCAAACGTAATTCACAAAACTACTTTTGTTACTATTTTCCTTTTCTCTTGTTTTTTCTTTTTTTTCTTCTTTTTTTTCTTTTTCCTTTTTTTCTTTATCTCTATTTTTCTCTTTTTTGAATTTTTATTTTGGAATGAACGTTCTAAAATAAACCTATGGGGACATGAATTTGATTTTCTGTATGATTCTAACTTGACTCCAAAAGAGGGGAGGTCGAAGAAATCAGTACAGGCTCAAAAGGGTATCGAATGGTATAAGTGTTTGGGTAGCTGAAAGAGGACCTCCCAATCCCTGAAAATGCCAAGTACAACACATGCAACTTGAGGATGAAAATTGAAGATCATGCACAATACTTCTTTTGCGGCTTCGACATTGATATCACTGATATGCCTTCCACTTTTCTTTAGCGCCTTGTCAAGTACAGAACCCTCATTGGGTGATTCCCTCTTCACAATGGATATCCTCCATTAATTTGGAGAAAACTTTCTTGACTTTATCTTGTAAATTGAGATGCACTTGAACTCAAAGTTTCTTGCTTCAAATAGTTGGGACGCACTCTCTTGTAACAAATTCTTGTTGTCCCATTAACTTTCCAAACTATCTGCCCCAGTTTCATATGGTTCGGGCTTCAAATGATCTCAAAATGTCCAAATCTGTACTTATTTCCCTCAGACATCTCTATCATCTACAAAATTATTTCATTGCTTCATGATTAAACTAACTTTTAAGACCAGACCTAGAATTATGCATGCATGCCATGTCACTAGAGCCAACATGAAAAGAACTATAAAAAGGAGAAGAGAACTAAACAAAAAATGACTAGAAATAACAGAAAGCAGAAAATTGCATTAGACAGGCGGTGAAAGGGTTTGAACAAAAAAAACAAACAAAACACATTGGGGTTACAACCCTAGAAAAACCTAAATAACACTAAAAAGGGTACTACGACTAAATGAACTAGGAAAATAAAAGGATAGAAGGGTTTGAGTCATAAGACAATATCCATATTACAACCTTGAATAACCCAGATAACAGAAATGACAACAAAATAAACCACCAAGACTCCTCCCCGACTAGCCAAGAAAGGAGCGTCTTTCCAATTACCAAATTCGACATCTTAGCCACTGAGCTCCACATCAATATTATCAAGACCATTACCAACTTCAATCACATTGTCTTCACCAAGTAGCTCATTGACTCCTTTGACCAACCCTTTGTCATTGCAAACCATCCCAACAATCTGTGCATTGTCATGTACCTATAGAGGATTATGTGTGACACTTGGGTATTACTGCCTTGGACCACAACTATTCCTTCTTGAATCATTCTTTCTATTTACCTTTTCAAAGCACGACAATTTTCCATGCTATGCCCTTGGACATTAGAGTGGTACATGCACCGTACAGTAGGATTAAAACCTTTTGCATACGGGCCCAGAGTATAGCCGAGGAGAGGCTCAATCAGGCCAGAATGTTTCAACCTTTCAAACAAGTTTGTGTAGGATTCTCCAATGGGCGTGAAATTATCTTTTTTCCTTTGTTTCCCTCCATGCCTCAGTTTTCTAGGATTGTTGGATGCTTGAAAATGTTGTGAAGGCGCACGAGAATTTGGGATGCTGGTGCTCGCCTTTGGGAGTGACCTAGTGGTTGGACACATGGCTAGATGTTGTTCGGAAGATAATACTGGGGTGGATTATGTGGAGTTTGGGGATGTTCATGGGGTCAGTATTGAGGTTGAAAGCATTTAGCAGGAATGCCCATTCAATCTTGTCATTGGCGGGGCTCAGCAACATCTTTTCTATCGGTGGGAGGATTGTCCCGAGCAACTTGTTCATTCCATCTGAGCCAAAATTCGCTAATACTTTCCTTGGGTTTCTTTTCCATCTGAGATAGGAAGGAGCGGCTTGGGACAATGTCTATATTATACTGAAAGTGTCACACAAAATCTTGAGCCATGTCATCCCATGTATACCACTTATTTACATCTTGACGAGTATACCATTTCAAAGCTGCCCCATTCAGGCTCTCACTAAAATGCGCCATCAGCAAATTACCTTTCCCTCCATCAGTAACCTCTTAGATGGGCTACTGGATCTCCATGTCCATCATATAAATTAAGCTTTAGCGTTTTAGACCCTTTCAGGTTTCTGGATAGCTCACCTCGCCCTTTTTTTCCTGTACACTTTTCATTTTCAACATGAGGCTCATTCCGAAGGCTCTAATTGTATGAGTCAGGAACCTTGTGGGCAACCTATGAGGGGTAATATTGGGCATCATGAGCTTTGAGTGGGTGTTCATTATCGGATCTATGAAAGGAAGATTGTTGAGAAGTTGTGATCATGAGGTAGTGGATATGACCGGAGGGCAATTTTTGGGAGAGGTAATTGGAGGATGAGTGACGAAGCTACTAGGGTGGTTGGGAAAGCTGTGATAAGCGGGTTGATCTGAAGAGTATGAGGGATCATCTGACACTATGACCGAAGTTTGGGTAAGGGTAACATCTAAGAAGCTAGGTGGTGGTGGGGGTGGTGCCTTCCCAGTCATCCAAGCCTGATACATGTTTGCCATGTGTTGTCTTAACATCCTTACCTCTTCAACCACTCATATCTCTGTTCAACCAATTGATTTTGGGCACCAGTATCAACCAACTCGATTCCGTTGCGGTTTGTCATTGGCTTTCGACCTTATGTTGTAGGGAAAAGTTACCACTTTAAGAAGCACAAATCAACCACCTTTCTGCTATGAAGATGAAGCCATCACGTTAGCGTTAGGGCATTTAACATGTGATAATCTCACTTTGTGTGCAATGCACCTAGCCGCAGTTATCAGTTCTAGAATGACTTCGAGGGTCACAAGGTCACTTGACATCATCCCAATTTTGTTCATTTCAATCTTCTCTTTTCTTTACTTTTCTAGCACTTGCTTGCTCATTTTCCTTCCTCTTTTCTTTTTTTTTTGCTAATTATCACTCTTTTCTTTCCTCTTATTTCTCACATCCCATAATTTCACCCCTTTTTTTCTTTTCTCTTTTTTTCTTTTTTTTTCATAAAAATAAAAAATTTCGATCGAATCCTATGTAGGTTGCATATGTATCATGACGCCGCATGAATCAGATCTTTGCATAGTCCGGGAAGATCGAGAATAAAGTAAACAAACTAACGTTCTCTTTTCTTTTTTCTTTTTTTTTATTCCCTTAATGACTATTCTAATGAGAAAAATATTTTATTCTTTTTTTAGAAAGAAAATCTAAAGAATGAACCAAAAAAAAATATTTCGAATTTTTATGTGATATCCTGAAGGAAAGATTTTGAACCAAGAAATGAAAAAGGTAAAAAAATATATATTTTTTTATTTTAGTTTTTTATTACCTAAGAAAGAAACTCTAAAGATAAACAACATATAAAGTATATTTTTTCGATGTACAATATTCTAAAGTTCTAGTGAAAATAAAAAGAATTTTTTTTTTCAATTTTCATCTATTTCCCAATGAAGAACCTCAAAAGAAAATCTTTTTTTTTTGGAATTAATATCTTAAAGAAAACTTTTAAAGAAGTACTAAAAGAAAATTCTTTTTTTTTAGTCTTAATATATTAACAAAAATATAAAAGCAACTTTCTTTTTAAATTTAAGTTCTAGGTATTAATTTTCTAAAGGAAAACCACCTTTTAGAAAACCACCTCAAAAGAACTTTTGTTTTAATTTCTAGACCCACACCCAATAGATGGAAACACTTTCTCATCACAACAGTTGTTGCCTCACATAGCAGAAGCCTGCTTGTTTCCTCCGCTGAACCATCCACCCGACAGTTGGTGCAAACTGGAGCAAATGAAGGCCTACCGCACGTTCATCTGGATGAGCCAATACTATACCTCCTACCTTCTTTAACTCCTATATATCTCTACCAAACTTTCTGATGATCTAACAAATTCGAGCATGTGGATACAGCAAATACACAGTCACATTTCCTTTATCACTAAGCATCTGATCGAAATTAAATGTATAGTTGGTCAATCTGTTGTTCTTCAAGTCTGCATATTTCACAGCACCATATCCAACTGCTTCAGCAGTTTTCTCCAGTTCCTCAGCTGTCCATTCTGTTGCCTTACCTCATTCTTCAAATGCTAATTTACACCGGCTCTTGGCCTTATCAAGTAAATCAACTAGCTTAACCACCTCAGTACTCCGAGTACGAAATCGTTTGCCATCATCTCCTAAAACTAGACCAAATCCTACATGTCTGGCCTTATGAAAGTCATTCTCGTTTTGGGGAAGCCGTCCTGCAAGTTTTGCAGAAGCAAAGACCATTTCAAAGTGCTCTCGCTGGCCAACATCAATCACATATATCATCCACTCTGCTTTCTCTTTATTAAGCCGATACTCTTTTTTATAAGGTAAATTCTTAAGCTGATACCTTAAAGTTGCATATAGAAAGTATCATGAAATCATGTGTTTAAACTTCAATATACATTGAACTCCGAGTCCCAGCATCAGTTACACCAGTTGATACCCAAATTGAAAGCCTTGCAAACTCAAAACCCCTCTGCCCAGCTTGTTACCTATACTACATCACATAGGTTAGAGTAATCTAATCATAATGGCCTGAATTATATGGATTAATTTAAGATGGGTAATCTGTACTCAAAATCACCTCTTCAACATATATTATCATTTGCTTGCATTACACTGATTACAAGAACTCACAGCTACCTATAAGCCCTATTTTTCCACTGGAACAAGATATTTTCCTTCCCGCATACATATTTAATATACATGCAACTCTAACCTAAAATTATAGAGGCAGAGGAAGTGTCCATTCTAACATATATATATATATTCAAGAAAAAGCTTATCCAGAGTATACTGCAGATCGAACAGCCAATTAGCCATCCATATGTCCTTTTTACACACTTTTATTCAAGTGTATTTAGCGGCACTCATGGACCCGAGTTAAACTATGGCCAATATCTCTGCTCATCTTCCTCGCAACTGCAACCTCTCGAATATATTGCAGTCTCGAACTCCCCAATTTCAGAATATCAATTTGAGGCCTGTAACCGAACAGAAGGATCCTCTGACTCAAGATCCATTAATTTTATAGTTGCTCTTCTTCCAACATTGCTCATTTTGATAAATCCTACAATTTCGCAAAAGTGAGCTCCACATCACAGAATCTCCTGTTGATGATGCATGGTTAGCAACTCTTCTGCCTCAATGACTAGACCTGCACGGCCCAGAAGATCCACCATACAGGAATAGTGTCGCCTGTCTGGAAAGACCCCATGAAGTCTCATTGACCCAAAAATCTTTTTCCCCTCTTCAACTAAACCTAAATGGTTGCAGCCCAACAGCATACACAAGAATGTTACTTCATCTGGTCTTACGCCCTTTTGGATCATTTCTTCAAACAATCCAAGGCATTCATTTCCCATTCCTTTCCGAGCATATGCATTAATTATTGAAGTGAAACCGATGATATTAGGTGAAGGAAATGCTTCAAAAAACTTCTAAGAGTACCTAATTTGTCCAAATCTTGAATATGCATCAATCAAAGAACATAATACCACAATATCAAAATCAAAACCTGATTTGATTGCACATCAGTGCAACAAATCACATCTATACAATGATAATGCCTTTATTATTAAGTACAGACTCACTTCATCAGATGCAATATTTTCACAAACCATCTAACTGAACAACTTAAACACATCTTGGGGACACCAAGATGCATCAAAGATGACATCATTGAATTACAACATTCGAGGCTTATTTTAGGGGAGCTCTAAAATACAGAAACTGAATTTTTCAATGTCATCATTTTTCCCATACATATCAATCAAAGCCGACTGAATGAGGACATTTCCATAATCAAAGCCCAATTTCATAACAAAACAGTGCACTTGTTTTCCAAAGAGCAATTCCTTGATATAGCAGATGGGTGTTTGTCATGGTAAGTAGATCCATACCTGTATGAGAAAAATAAGACCAAATAGAATTAAAGACTTAGAATACTATGTGAGACAATAACACTTCCTATTAGACACATGCAAGACATGATTGTGACTATTTTTCTAAAATTAACCTATGTGGCTAAAAGTGGCTAAAATGCAAGATTTAGCTAAGACCCCGTGAAGCCAAGAATCTATGACTCACTAGGAAGACCGGACCCTATGTGGGTTGCCTACGTATCATGCCCCGAAAGACGAGAATCGGGTATGCGTAGTTCGGGCAGATTGGATACGGGCGAGAATTAAAAAAATTAATTTAGAGAAAAATATGTTTGTCTTTTTAAAAAAAATGATGAAAAATGTAAACTCTTTTTTGTATTTTCTTTTTCTCTTTTTTTTGATTTTTTTAAAAGAAAATGACGGGGAAAGTGCAAGCTCTTTTTTTTGGATTTTTCATTATCAATTTTTTTGGTTTTATTTTTGAAAAAAAAATGTGAAAGAAAATTATAACTGGGCCCCACTTGCTTCATTTTCATACTTCAACCTCTTTTCTTTCTCATTTTTTTTTCTTTTTCCATTTGCCCTCAACTATCATTGGTCTGCCAAATGACCTTTTTACCCTTGAAGAAATACAACATGTAGCACATATGATGCATCAAGATGGTCTGTTATTTTGGGTACACCTGTCCTAGACGGACCCAACCCCTATGTTGAGTCCCCAAAGTCAGATGCAATGCAAACAAGCGTTCCTACTAGGGATCCGGCATGAGGCTATGTTATTCTAGGTTTAAAAACCTGGGTTTATTTGTTCTAGACCTGGCTTACCCGAGCGGACAGCTCGAGCCGAGGGGGGGGGCAGTGTATCGGGAATACAGAAGCTTCACCGGCTTTGCAACTTGTCCGAACCTCGTTTTAAAATTGGAATATGACTCTAACAGAAGAGAAGTCACACGAAGTGCACACTTCCCTGATGATTTAGAAGACTCAGAGAGAGGAGGGATTCGTAACAATTTATATACAGTTCAACAATATCAAAGCGGTAAAAAGAAATATTTAGCACGTTAAGCCCAAACATGTGACTAAAACCATATAATAAATAAATCCAAATATAACAATTATTCTAAGCTCGAATTCTTGAACCCTGAACCAGAGATTCTGGGTTCGCATCCCCAGCAGAGTCGCCAGAACTGTCACACCTCCTTTTTCACTACACCCCGAGAGGGGTATAAGGGAGTTTTTTCAAATTTAAGTGACAATAAAAACGGGATTTATTTATTTATTCAGAGTCGCCACTTGGGATAATTTATGGTGTCCTAAGTCACCGGTTCAAATCCCGAATCGAGGAAAGATTGACTCTGTTTTATAGTCCGCGAACACAAAAATCTGGGTAAGGAATTCTGTTAACCTGGGAGAAGGTGTTAGGCATTCCTAGGTTTCGTGGTTCTAGCACGGTCACTTAACTGTTATTATTGGCCTAATTATCTGATTTTAAAATACTTTTAAACCTATGTGCATTTTTAACTTTAAAACCGCTTTTATTTATTATTTTTTAGGAAGATTCAATGTTATTTAAAACACGCCTTGAACCACGCCACATGAAATGCACCAGTGGTCCATGGCACATTTTATTTAACGTTATTGAGAATTAGAGTTGGGTCACATGAAATGCACACCTGAGTTTAAGGAAATTAATTTAAATAGTGCGCCTAAAGCAACACGCACTTTTAAGTTTGCGAGGGCCATGGAAAATTCAACTAATGGCACACCTCGATTTCTAAAGAGTTAAAATTGATTACTCGAGGGCCATGGACTTAGGGGTTTTATTCGGAATGGCACCCCTCAAATTATTCTAACGTGAATAGACAAAAATAACCAGATTTCGCCAATTTTATCTAGAATCATAAACACGAAATCAACCAAACATAATTCATGTAAATCTTAACCAATGATATGAACAAAAACAACTAAACAGAAATCATAAATCTCATAATCATACACCTCACAAAAATAATGAAAGGACTAAGTAGTTAAACTGTTAAGAGAGCGCGACTAGCGTAGTTAACAACATCATGATCATGGTCCCTAAGCTTATCTGGGTCAGTTGTTAGAAAATTATCATGTTACTGAATCAAAATAGAACAACCACTGTCAATTAAAATAAATCAATGGCCACTTTCAGATAAATTGCAAGATATGTAATCCTCACTAAGATATAAATCTACAGTGCATGGACTTCCAATCAAAATTTCTTTCACACTTATTAATATCAGAAGCATGTAATTGAATCCTAATGCATCGAAACATGTATTTGTACACACATTAATCATTAAGCAAACCTCATCTAATCTTTAATCTACGGATGTTTTTCATGATCCATATGTTTTAGATTCCTACATCTCTTTTACCCGAGGCTCTCATCATACGTTAGTCACCTCACAAGTAAATTAAGGGGAAATCAAGGAATGGACCTGAATTTGCAAAACTTCAATTAATTCTAGGAGCAAAGTATAAAAGAATCTGGCGGTGAAAATCCAATGTAGACCGTAGCCAAGAAACAGAAATTAACAGCCATGAATGAACCTCGATCGGCGACGAACACTCAAACAAACTCCGACACGGGCAGAATTTAATCATCTTCATTGAAATCAGAAGGAAAAAACTTCAAAATTCAAACGACCTCTATAACAAACCTCGAACAGAGCCTCGCGCCGGCGGAAGGAACGACGATATCACAGCAAATCGAGGGATAACAAATTGAACAAATCTGAGATGCTTAGACTCCAAAATGTTGGTTGACGTTGAAGAAGAAAGAACTGAGGGGTCATTGGTTTCGTTTTATCGAAGAAGAAGAAACCGCCCTGGAGAGTTCTATCATTTTCGTTGAGGAAGAAGCTCGAGTTCGTTGGGGGGTTTTGTATGTGTTCAACGGTGGATATGATTTTTTTAGGTCTCCTCCCTCAATTTAGAGATTAGGTACTATTATATAGGGGTAGGGATTAGGTTAGAGGTTTGGTCCTAGGAATTATGGGCTTGGGAACAATGGGCTAGGTCCAAAATTAGACTTAAAAATGGGTTGCTCGAGCCCAAGTTTTATTCTTTCCCTGTGAACGAGATTAATATACGACCTCATTTATTAATTAGTCCTACTTAAATTAAATAACTATTAAAATAAGACTACTACAACAACAACCCAGTATAATCCCACTTAGTGGGGTCTGGGGAGGGTTGTGTGTACGCAGACCTTATCCCTACCCTAGGGTAGAGAGACTGTTTCCAAATAGACCCTCGGCATCCTTCCCTCCAAGAACTTCCCACCTTGCTCTTAGGGAAACTCAAACTCACAACCTCTCGGTTTGAAGTGGGGGTTGCTTAAAATAAGACTGACTGTTAAAAAAAATTATTTTGGTATTTTTCAAGATTAAATATGATTACAAAACATTAATGAAACTATTTTTTAGTTGAAATAGCGATATTAGGCCTAATTTAAATATTTACATGCTAAAATATAAAAAATCTTGGGGAGGGTCAAAAATCACATGTCTACAATTGCGGAATCCTATGATGGTTGGAGAATGTTCTTCGATGGAGCAACAAACTTCAAAGGAGTTGGCATAGGAGCAGTCCTAATATCAGAAATTGGTCAGCATTATCCGGTGTCTGCCAAACTCAGGTTCCCTTGCACCAAAAATATGGCCGAGTATAAAGCCTGCATCTTGGGACTCAAAATGGACATTTACATGAATGTTCAAGAGCTGCTAGTGATTGGAGATTCAGACTTGCTTATACATCAGGTACGAGTAGAATGGACAACCAAGAACTCCAAGATACTCTCATATTTGCATCATGTACAGGAATTGAGAAATAGGTTCACGAAGACAAAATTCCAGCATGTTCCCAAAGTCCAGAATAAGTTCGCCGACGCATTGGCTACCCTATCATCTATAATACAGCATCCAGACAAGAATTTCATTGATCCCATTCCAGTTAAAGTCCATAATGCCCCAGCTTACTATGCCCATGTCGAAGAGGAAGAAGACGGAAAGCCTTGGTTTCATGATATCAAGGAATATTTGGCAAAAGAAGAGTACCCGGAGCTTGCAAATCCTACTCAGAAAGGCACACTTCGGAGATTATCCAACAACTTCTTTCACAGCGGAGGAATCCTGTATAGGAGGACTCCTGATTTGGGATAATTAAGATGTGTCGACGCAAAGGAAGCATCCAAGCTGCTAAAGGAAATTCATGCTGGGACCTGTGGTCCATATATGAACGGTTTTGTCTTAGCAAAAAAGATACTTCGGGCTGGTTACTTTTGGATGACTATGGAAACGGACTGCATCCAGTATGTCCAAAAATGTCATCGCTATCAGATACATGCAGACATGATAAAGGTACCTTCGAGCGAGCTCAACACAACAAGCTCACCGTGGTCGTTCGCTGCCTAGGGAATGGATGTTATTGGACCAATCGATCCTGCCTCTTCCAACGGACAAAGGTTTATCCTAGTAGCTATAGACTCTTTCACCAAATGGGTGGAATCAGCATCTTACAAAGCAGTGACTAAAAAAGTCGTGGTAGACTTTGTCCGCGACCACATTATTTGTCGATTCGGGATTTCAGAGTCAATCATTATCGATAATAGCTCCAACCTCAACAACGACTTGATAAAAGCTATGTGTGAAACCTTCAAGATCAAACACAAGAATTCCACAGCCTACAGGCCTCAGATGAATGGAGCTATGAAAGCCGCCAACAAGAATATCAAGAAGATATTGAGGAAAATGATAGAAAAGTATAAATAGTGGCACGAGAAGTTATCATTTGCTCTTCTGGGGTACCGTACCACAGTCTGCACATCAACCGGGGTAACCCTCTATATGCTGGTTTACGGTACAGAGGCTGTCATTCCCGTTGAGATAGAAATTTCTTCCCTAAGGATCATACAAGAAGCTGAGCTCGACGACGCAGAGTGGATAAAAAGTCGTTATGAACAACTATCCCTTATAAACGGAAAGAGAATGAATACAATCTACCATGGTCAACTCTATCAGAACAGAATGTCCAGAGCCTTCAACAAAAAAGTCAAGTTAAGACAGTTCACACCGGGGCAGCTGGTGTTAAAGAAAATTTTTCGCATCAAGATGAAGCCAAAGGGAAGTTCTCTCCCAACTGGCAGGGTCCATACATGGTTCACCGGGTTCTGACAGGAGGAGCCCTCATACTTGCAGGAATGGACGGAGAAGTCTGTCCAAAGCTGATCAATTCTAATGCAGTCAAGTGTTATTATGTTTAATCTTTATGCTTTCCTTATATGATGTAAATTGAACTACGCCTTACCTGATTCTCGTTTAAGAGGGGATACGTAGGCAGCTCTATGGGTTCCGTCACAAATCAATAAAATTTCATTCCCTCAAAATTCTGAAGTAATTTCAGCCGATCGCCGCACGAGCAATAGTCAGAAACGTCAACCCCCCTCAAACTGGGTCAGATTTGAGGACCCTCAAAATGTCGTAGCAGTTGAGGTTGCAATGTTCTGAACTATATCATAGTCATCAGTTCATCTAAAGGCTATTTTTAATTATATATTTATGTCATACTTTTACAACATTATGCATGATTATTATTGAAACTGCTTTGTTTAGCAACGCTACCCTAATCATATAGACGGTATCACCATATCAGAGCTGAACGAGGCAAGCAAAGCCAACGAGGATACGAACTAACCTTCCCCCTTGCAAAACTCATGATTTTTCTTTGGATGCAGGCACTAGGATTGCAAAATCATTAAACATACTGTACGCCTATGGAACAAACATTATTCAAGAATACAACTCTCTGAACCGTTGCACTTGCCAACATTTGCTATCAGCACACACCAGTGATGTCCCGTATGTCATAATACTCCTAGTAATCACAACGCCGCAATCTACTATCAGCTAAGAAAACTCTACTGCATAAGGCTACCATTCTGCCTTCCGAGAATAAACATTGTCTCCATCTGCATCTGCATTACATAAAGCTACTATTCTGCCTTCCAATCTACATAAGGCTACCATTCTGCCTTCCGAGGTTAAGTTCTACCTTCATCTACATTTGCATTGCATAAGGCTACCATTCTGCCTTCCGAGACTAAACGCTGTCTCCATCTGCATCTGCATTGCATAAGGCTACCATTCTGCCTTCCGAGACTAAACGCTGTCTCCATCTGCATTTGTATAAGGCTACTATTCTGTCGATCATTATGCCTTCCGAGACTAAACTCTGTCTCCATCTGCATTTGCATAAGTCTACTATTCTGCCTTCCAATCGGCATAAGGCTACCATTCTGCCTTCCGAGGTTAAGCTCTACCTCCACTTGCATCTGCATTGTGTAAGGCTACTATCCTGCCTTCCAATCTGTATAAGGTTACCATTCTGCCTTCCGAGACTAAACGTTATCTCCATTTGCATCTGTATTGCATAAGGCTACTATTCTGCCTTCCAATCTGCATAAGGCTACCATTCTGCCTTCTGAGGTTAAGCTATACCTCCACCTGCATTTGCATTGCATAAGGCTACCATTCTGCCTTCTGAGGTTAAGCTCTACCTCAATCTGCATCTGCATTGCATAAGGCTACTATTATACCTTCCAATCTGCATAAGGCTACCATTCTACCTTCCGAGGGTAAGCTCTACCTCCATCTGTATCTGCATTGCATAATGTTGATACCCAATTTTTTTCTGTATATTTTATATGTGCAAAATACTTTCAAAATATCATATGTATGCATATATAGGTATATCCAAATGTTTTAGTATTTTTCCTAATTTTAAAAGTTTTTTAAATTAATTTATTGCCCTATTTTANGGGAAAAACTGGCTATTTAAAATATAGCCCCATTTTGTTTCAATTATAGCCCAAATTGATCCCCAAATAACCCAATTTCAAATACCAAATTACCCAACCCAATTTCAATTTAACCCGACCCCTGACCCGCTTATCTGATCCGCCCCGCCCTTTCTCTTAATCCAGGTCGTTGATCATTTTGATCAATGGCCACGATCATTCCTTACCTTTTTAATTCCCTAATGACTACCCTAATCCCCTCATTCTCTTCTATCAGCTACCTCTGAAATCCCTCTCCTCTCAAACACTCTTGAACCCTCTCAAAACCCTAGCCTCTCTCACTGTCTTCTACCTCAAGCTCACCGGACCATGACATCTCAAGCCATAGATGGCCTAAACTCATCTCCCTCTGCTATCAAACACTTGGTATTCGAAGGTCCTAGGTCTGACCTCGAAGGTGTCCGTTCAGATCTCTACAGATACAAGGTTCTATGGCCCTTGTCGGTTTGCTCTGGCGTACAATGATGTTTTGAGCATGGTTCTAACCTCTCCGACGCAGATCGAACCTTTTCAAAGCCTTTATCGTTTTAGGGTTCCCCTGAAACCCTAAGCTATTCGAGGTTTTCTCTGATTTTTTCTTAGATCGGTTCTATATCTGTTCTCTACTTGAGTTTTTAAACGTTTACCCCAATTTTTCTTTCAAAAAATTACTTCTTTCCGATTTAGGGTTTCTGAAAAAGCTTAAAATGTTTCTCCGACTCTTCTTTTCCTTTCTTTGTGTGTATTTGTCACGCATGTGCTTCTACTGCTTTCTTATGCTATACATGTTCTTTTGTGCTTTATTTTTCTATTGTGTTTTGTACCATGCTCTCATGTTTTTTTGTTATATTTTCTTATACGATCTTTTGCTATGCTTTTTCGGTATTTTTGTGTTCTTCTACTGTATGTATATCCTACTGTGTTCTTAAGTTTTGTTTTCCTTCTACTGAACTCTGTTTAAGTCCCTTCTGAAAGGTTTTCTTAAACACGTTTCTTTTACTGTCGTGACTATTCTCTTATTATGCTCCTACACTCTGTCTGCTTTGAATGTTATTTGTATTTTCTTGTCTTC